CTATTAGTGAGTGTGTACTCTTGCTTATCAGTCTTGAAGTACTATAAGTTTACAATCTTAAAATTTTAGCTTGAAGCAGATACATATTCCTTACACAATGTTATTCTGCCATGCCTGGTTGAAAGATAATGGTAGTTGTCTTGTGAGCCAGGAAGGTCTTACAGCCTCAGTAAGTCTGTAGTGTTTTCTGGTATTCAAGACTCCATTAAACAGCTTAAATCCCGTTTCATGTTTTTCTTGCCCTGGCTCTTTTTAAGGTGTCACCATATCTGCATGTCCCAGAGACAGAAATCTGCAGCAGAATTTGTTTCCTCAAGAATTTGTGCCTCCTGAGAAGCCTCCACCAAAACAGCAATGGATACCTGATGACACTGAAACAATATGTATGGTTTGCAAAACTGAACGCTTTACTATGGTAAGGAGCAAAACCAAAGTACATTCCTAGAACTGTGACCTTAATATGAACACTTGCTCATAGTCTGTTTCTTAAGACACTAGCTGCTTTACCAAGTTTGTCTGCATCGGCGTAGGCCTGACAAGGTTGCCAATCCTTTGATATTTAACCATTAATTTCTTTTTAGTGTAGTTGAAGAGACTGGCAGCAGTTAGCTCCTTGCAGAGTCCTGTGAACTGACAGAGCCCAAAGAGGAAATCTCGTCATCAGAGAGAACTATGAGATCTCAAAAATATGTGATAATAGCAGTATTAATATTTCAAAAGGCTGTCTAGTTGACTGTGCTGGCAAGAAGTAACATGAGCATTGTATAATTCAGGTTACCAATATAGAAAATGTAATCTTGACTGTTGGTTACACTTTTCTAAAACCTGTTGTTTAATAGACTACTTGAGCAACTGTGTTAGTGCTCTAAGGGAGATTAATTTTGAGTTTTGCAAGTGTGCTGGCATTTTGTGATCTTCTATTGCTTAGAAACAGCACTGCTTTCTCAAAGTATGTGTTGCTTTTGAATTTGGAAATTATAACGTGGTGTCAGAAAGACAGTCTACAGTTTCTAACCTATCCAAGAGATAATCTAATTAGTGCTGTGACCAAAATTGAGACAATTTAAATAGTGGAAAGCCCAAGACTGCGGCAAAGATATTTTAAGTACCTGCCTCTGGGTTTGGTTTTTCTTTTTTGCAATGACCTCTCCAGACAGGAATTGTAACAGTGAGAATAAATCCTTCTATAGCTCTGAAAAGGCTTATCGTGCATGATGTTTCCTCTCTTCAAATGGAGCAAGTTTACTCATGAGTGGTAGCAGATATAGGAGGGCACTTTAGTAAATTCTTTCTGTTGCTCATCCATGACCTCTCTTGCTTAGTTTAACAGACGCCATCACTGCAGGCGCTGTGGCAGGCTGGTGTGCAGCTCTTGCTCCACCAAGAAAATGGCAGTAGAAGCTTGCAGAGAAAATCTGTCTCGTGTATGCGATCAGTGCTATAGCTACTACAACAGAGAACATCTGCCTGACTTGCTGCAAGACACAAGCATGTAAGTCTTTCTGTTCTGGTTCTCCTCAGTTTCATGTACACAGCAGAGTACATGAATGGAATGAGAGAGCATTTGGGTTTATCTGGATAATACAATAACATCAGCTTTTTAGCCTCCAGCTATTGGGATTTTCAGTTTTGATAGGTGTGGGGATGTTCCTTATGCATCAGTTTACTTTTCATATTAGAAAGAACACTGGAGAGCCAGGCAACAAAGTCTTTAATTCTTTAAGCATCAACTGATCATTAACCTAAGAATTGAATGCTTTGATGCAACACATATTCAGCACGAACTACTACAGTGTGAAAAAGTTTCTTGCAGTTTACTTGGCCCCTGGATTAACGTCACAAGTTGACTAGCTATGCTGAACATAGCAGTGTCTTAATGTTATTCCATAATCCTTGATTATGACTCCTTGAACCCTTGGGGATTCAAAAGCAAATTCATTATTAGATAGGCTTTGAAACTGCCCTTAATAAAAGGGACAGCTGTGATGACAGATTTTCATTACATGGTTGCTTTAAGCTGAGAATTGGACCAAAATTCACTGTGCATATGTTAGGCCAGCTGGTGAAAAGTGCAGCTGAAGAGAGTGAGGTTTACTTTCTGTGACCCTGTCAAGCCTGCTGATTCTGCCATAGCAGATACTGCTATCAGCAGGCTTGACAGGGTCACAGAGGGTAAGAATTACACTTTTCAGCTGCACTTTCAGCTGCATTCCCTCTTCTAGTAAGCCTGCAGATAGCAGTATCCGCTCTGGCAGTATCAGCAGGCTTGCTAGGAAAAGGCGAATACTGTGCAGATCTGAAAAGGAACCTTTGAAAAAACAAGCAGTCACCTCTAGCTAAATCAGTTTGCGTCAGAATGGTTGCTTACGCTGCCAGATTAAGTCAGTGGAGCCTAGCAGTGAGCTTGAATGCCATCTGTCATGTTTTAATTGCTTAAGTGTCTGGATTTTTTTATACTTACTCTATTTTTATATCAAAACCAACTAAATCTTAAGGACAGAGATCTGGATGCCAAAAACTTCATTTTAGCTCTGATGTATTCTGATACTGGGCAGTTTTTCTTGTTCTCAGTGTCTGCTTTTTTATGATGTGTGCAACAGTACTAGTCCTACAGAAGGTTATAAGAACTAATTACTTAGTGTAGTTGAAATACAACAATGCAGAGGCAGGTTCTTAGATGTCCAGATAGTAGGTGGTAGGGGCAGGCCAATGGGTCGGAGAGGGCAGGGAGGGAGAGATGTTAGTTTTTTACAAGACAGTGTTCTGAAAAGACTAGCCATATTGATCTCTTTTAAAACTATGTTTTCCCGAGTGTGCTGGCTAGGCATAATGTTTCTTTCTGTCATTTTATTGCAGCAGAAAAGATGATCAGGACCAAGTAGAAGGTAAGGAACAGAGTAATGTTAAACTGCAGTTTTTTTAAAGCGCCTGATTAGGAACAGAGTTAGAGATAGGAAGCTGATACATCTAGTTGCAGCTGAAGGGTAATCTGAACTTCAGTTACAAAATATCACTGACGGTTTTTGCATGTGCAGGCTGAAATTCAGCATTCCAAACTTCTGTGAGACTTTAGGAGAGATGTCTGAGCCATATTGAATGTGCTGGATGGGGATTAAAGGAAGGCACTGGAAAACAAGTTGGAAAATGCACTTTGCATACTAGAAACAGTCAGTGAGATGCTGTGTCATGAGTAGGAATTAGTTAGCCTTCTACAGAGCTGTGCTGAATGCTCCTTTTTTTACAAATCCTGATAGTACAACTCTGAATAGCACTGCAGTGTGCTGTGGTGTTTGTTACCCCATGCTGGCTGCAAGTAGCACAGGATGAGGCCCTTGTCATGGATCTGATTGTGTCCTAAGTTCCATCTCCTTTGGTGGTTGTGTGAATATGGACTAGTAATTTCGGTGCCTCAATTTCCACATCTAATATCATAATACTTCAGGAATAATAACAAAATTTAGTTGACTTTTTCTCTATCACTTTTCCTCAGAAGGTTTTACTCTTTGTTGCTTAGTCTGGCATTTGAGGTGATTCTGCAAAATTTTGCGACACTGACATGAAATTCTGGCAGGCCAAAACATAGGTATTTGAAGTGCTTATAGAAGTAATGTGAAACATGGTGCAAAATTTGCATTTGTGCTATAAAACAAATGAAAATGTTTCCTTACTTGTCCCTTTTTAGGTATGTTGGGCTATTTGAGCATCTTTTTTTTGCTGTTGACAGAAGTTTGCTTTACTGCTACGTTTGTTACAAGACTGAAAGAGCTGAAATGCAGTTTCTGAGCTGCTGCTTCTGGTTAGATCTT